ATATTAAACTTGATCAAGCCAAGATGAACGTTGCAGAGATCCGTGCTCGGAGAGATTATGATGATTTGTTGAAAACGATACATCCACTGAAGTAATCAACGGTGAATGAGGAGGCGGCCTGGGTGCATTACACCTTTGGAGTTTAACCTTACTTTGTCGAGACTTTTGAGAGTTACTTCCTTATTATGAAATCTCTTATATTTTTCGTCTTTTTGTCATTTTTTTTTTTTTTTTGTGAGATCATGTGGGAAAACAAGCTTTGAAACCTTATTTCTCTTCTAATTAGTTTTAATTATGATTTTCGCCTTTGTCCAGGTCTTGTCGTATATGTTATTTTTTAATCATTGGCATCGTCATGTATATATTGGTTGTACGTCTAGATTGATCGGTATTAGATGGAAGGAGTACATTACTTCTACATTGTGTAGTAATAGGGTTAGCGTTAATCACAAACTTTACCGTTGGCTTAGGCGTGTCAATTTGAATAGTTATGTTGCAATTCCGATTTTCGTATCATCTCAAACTGATTTGTTTTCCTTTAAAAAAAATCTTCATCAGATCCTTTGACCACTCACTCAATTCTTCCTCATCTAGGAGTCGTAAACGTTATTTTTGACCTGGTTGGAAGGAGCATTTGCGGTTTCACCGCCGCTACCAATTTGATTCATTATCTATTGTTCACACAGCACCTTTGGTTCATTTTATTTCCTCTTTCCGTGCATGATGCATCCCATCAGATTTCCCTTACTCCCCCCCCTCGTAACCTCTTCACGTCGCAACCCCACTTTGTATTCACTTTGTGGTTTGATCGCACTTCTGCTAGTCTTATCACAATTTTACAAAAAACTTTTGATTCCAACATAACTACTTCCTTCTCTTCAAAAGGTTTTTGGTTGTGGACAGTTGGAAGCTTATTAAAAGACTCTTCGATTCTTCCATTATTTTTTTCAACGATCATTCTCTCTCTCTTCTAAAAAAATGTCGCTCATGGTTTATATCCGATTTGTCTATTATTATTCATAAGGTTGTTGTAGAGGTGGGATACTAAACCAGTGACAGTTACCCACAGTACTCGGCCACTCGGTTCTCCAGCTGAACCTCTCTGAAGACCCCACCCACCCTTCCTCTCATTTTTTTTGCCCTGGCGCACCCCCACCCCCGCTGTCCTACCCTAGTGTTAAACCACTAGTACTTGGCACAGCTATCGATGCCGAGCCTGTAATGCCCCTGTGCGCCAATTTTTGCCGAAGCGTCGGGGTACCGTTTCTAGCCATTCTGGTCCTGTACCCCGAAACCCTTAAGGCGCGACGCGTTAACGGAAAAGCACCGCGACCGATAGTTGGGCCAAGTACTGGTGGTTTAACCACCCGGGACCATCATCTATTACCACCTTGATGAGTGACCTGACCAGACAGCGGTTGCAGGCATTCGGGCTAAGCAGAGAGACCTATCCCCCTGCACAACCCTGGTTGAAGCAGACGCCGTGCAAACCCGATTGCATGGGGACTTCGGGAGCTAGGTATGAACATGCTACTACAGGTCTTCATGAGGGTGCACAGTGACTTTCATCTAGCACATTTGTGTGGTATGATAGAGAGTTGGGAATTTTTCGTTCCCTCGTGTGTCACTGGAGCCCGTTTCGGCCCCGCGGTAAAGTGCAATATCTTTTAGCAACCCCGACATCCCGTACTAAGGAACTGCTATGCCAACCCACAAGCGGTTATCGGGTAGCTGAAAATTCAGGAATGAGAGTTTTGGGCAGTCTGAAAATCCTGAATGGTTCTAAAGTGGTGAAAGGTCCGAAGACCCTGAAAACCACTTGTTTAGGCAGGCTGCATCTTGAAGTGGTAAAGGATGTCCTGAAGAGGTCAAGTGAGAATTTTGGGCAGTTTGAAAATCCTGAATGGTCATGAAGTGGTGAAAGGTCCGAAGAACATGAAAACCACCCTTCACCACTTGAGGATGCAGCCTGCCTAAACAGGTGGTTTTCAGGGTCTTCGGAGCTTTCACCACTTCAGGACCATTCAAGATTTTCAGACCTGAATGGTCTTGAAGTGGTGAAAGGTACGGAGACCCTGAAAACCACCTGTTTGGGCATGTTGCATCCTGAAGTGGTGAAGGGTGTCCTGAAGTGGTGATGAAAAATACGACTGTTGTTAACCTTCTCTCTGCCAGCCTCAACCCTATGCTACGTACTAGGAGGATAGCCGATAGCCAACCCTGAGTCTTGAGCTATGACTTGAATCTCTTATCCTTACGTTGTATTACTAGACTGTTCTATTGTGTTGATGGTAGAGAGCTGGGGATTCTCTGTTCCCTCATATCTCCCTGGAGCCCGTTCCGGCCCGACCGTAAGGTGCAGTATCTCCTGACACCCCCAACACCCCGTACTAAGGAACTGCTATGCCAACCTCAACCCTTGACTAAGTACTAGGAGGATGACCAGCCCTAAGTCATCTGGTATCGAACACAAGACCTCATGTATATCATGCAAATGACCTAACCTATTGGCCTAAGGCCCTAAGCTATGAAATAGTCTGTAGCTTTGCTCTGCTGGGCTCGACTAAACCAGACTGTACAAACCACCCAGCAGTCTCGTAACCACCCCATAGACCAAGTACATCAGGATACCATGCCATCACCCAGTCCCCACATACAACCACCCCGTGGGTGGTGCGCAGGCAGTCTGTAATGACTTACCTGGGTCATCCCAAGGGTGTGTGTGTCCAGCCGTCACTCTAACGCCCTGCCGGTGGCCATTCTCATGGCCATATGGAGGATGCAATGCACATGCGAAAGAAAAAATATTCCTTTGGCTTCCCCCAGACAAAAGTGGAGATCGTGGAAAAGATCCGGGTGAATACAGTAAAGGCTGCAAGAAAAATGGCTGAAAAGGTGACAGCAGTGAAGGACGTCTTTCCAAGAGACCTGGGTGAACCCGAAGGGGCTCATCGTGCCTCTCATTGTGTCAACTCTATGAACAAGGGTGCATCCACTGGAAGAACTGGAAGTTGCAGGAACAGTGTCTGTTTGTTTGTCTGCCTCTCTCTCTCTCTCTCTCTCT